CATACCCCTTCTCCTCCCCCCTATGGAGTTCAAGTTACTTGCAGGATGGGGCAACAAGAAGGAGGACCCCACCCCCTATCTCTCTCATCCTGTGGCCTGCCAGCACGAAGGGCTAGCTGGTGGGAAGAAAAAAGGACTTCATGTAGCCTTGTATTAGTTCCACCTGGTTTGTACAGTTGAGGTTGCACAGTGTGGTGGTGGTGGTGAGCATTAAAACCCTCCACAAAAATGCTTTATTAAATAATGAAGGGAAGAGCAAAGTAAATAGCCTTGACTAACCTGATCGTGTCAAGAGCTCAGAAGATAAGCAGAGCTGGCCCTGGTTAGGACTTGGATAGGAGACCACCAAGGAAAGCCAGAGTTGCTCTGCAGAGACAGGCAACAGCAAAACAACCTCTGTTCGTCTCTTGCCTTGAAAATCCTATGAGAGGTCACCATAAGACACTTCTGACTTTATGATAATTATTAATTAGGTTTCCCTTGCTCGAAAACCAGTCGAATCCGACTCTAGGGATGTGGTTTCCAAGCCGAAGGGCCAGCACTGTCCAGAGACGTTTCTGTAGTCATCTGGTCGGCATGACTTGACGCCGAGGCACACAGAACGCTGTTACCTTCCCACTGAAGTGGTACCTATTTATCTACTTGCAATTTCTTGCTTTCGAACTGCTAGGTTGGCAGGAGCTGAGACCAGAGACGGGAGCTCACTCCGTATTGCGGCATTCGGGTCTCGAACTGCTGAACTACCGACCTTCTGGTCTGTAGTTCAGCATCTTAACCACGTGAGTCACCACAGCCCCTAATTATTAATTAAGGAACAATTAATTCCCCTTCCCTAATTAATCAGCTAAAGTTTAAATCAGTTAAACCAATGTGTATCTCTAGGGATCTGTTTATTGATCTAACTAACTATCCCAGGAATGGCACACCAGGCATCAAAACTTGCAGTTACCTTGACAAGACATTTCTTTCTAAAAAAAGTTTACTGTTTTACATGCTATTTAGGTTTGATTCATTACTCTAGAGTCTGCTGCAGCTAGGGTTACCACCAGTCTCCAGGTGAGGCCTGGAGTTCACTCGGAATTACAACTGGTCTCCAAGTAACAAAGATCAGTTTTCCTGGAGAAAATGGTCACATTAGACCCTGCTGAGACCCCTCCCCAAGCCCCACCCTCCCCAGGCCCCACCCCCAAATCTCCAGGAACTTCCCAGTCTGGAGCTAAACCTACCTGCAACCAAATACAGGCAAAGTTCTTTGTTCAACACATTCTATAACCAGCTCCTCGGCCTTCTCTTTCTTATCTTTCAAGTGCCAAGGCTAGCTCTTTTGTGCCCTCCCACCCATTGGCCCATCCATGGCCATCTACATTCACAAAACAAGGGCAGAGAACACAGGATCCCATTGATCTTATTTTGCCCCACCATATTTCAATAGAATGACATGGATGGCCCTGGGTATTTCAGGCACTCGCTTGAAAAAAAGTAAATTTAGTGAAAGATTGAAAATATAAATAGCAGACTGTTCCAGCAGAGCTTTTCCAAGTTTTGGAACTTTTCCCCATGCTGAAAGGGGCATCCTGTTTATGGGGATTATTTGTACTCCCTGGGATGTGCATTCTCTCAGTTGGGGGTACTATTGCTTTGGCCTCACTTGTTCTCTTGGACTCCCATCGGCTGTGGTCCAAAACCCATATGATTTGGTCACTGATGTCATCATGACCCTGCATCTGTCAGGATAATGCCACAGACTGTCATAAAACAACAACAAAAGGCATGTTGTTTGCCAGTTAATACAATTAATTGGCAAACAAGTCTGAAAGCTAGAAAGTCAAAGGTGGGGGGAAGGAAGTGGGGCTGAGCAACAGCCGTCACCAGGGGAACAAAAGGGTACGAAACAGCATAGTAGCAATTCAAATATTTGGTGACTTTTGGGCAGAGGGGGATTTTCTTTGGCTGCTTTCAAAACAAAACAAATATTGAAATAAGATAACGTTTTGCCTAAACGTTGGCCCAACATTCAGATTTTCAACAGCACGAGTAACTGAAGAGCAACACACATACATTCTCTGTGAGGGTTTTTTGTTTTTCCTGGTGAGACAGCAGAAATCTCCTGGTAGCCATAAACCCACTACACAGGCTCCATTCCTGAACACATGTTCAAAGGTGATAAAATAAATGCAGATGGTTTCCTGAAATCTCTCTGGAGCATATATTTTAAAGACTTAGGATGGATTGTTTAAAAAATTGAGAAAGCATTGCCTGGCAAATATAACGAAAAGGTAAGTCACACCACAGCATTATCGACACAAGAAAACATGTTATTAATATGCTTGATGCTTGATATAGATGGCCGCCGAAAATAGCAGCCATTCATTACATCCTACTCTCTTCCGGGCTTGTTTCATGGTGGGACTCCCCAGTACTTAGTACCAGCACTTTTGGAGGGGGGCTTTCCCAAGGTCAGGGAGGGGGATTGGTGGAAATCAGCATAACTTTAGACCTAAGTACCAGCCCCCTTTTTTCTTGAACAAAAAAGCACTGGAGGGAACACAAAAAATCCTGATCCTGTCACACCATTGAGTACATGTGCCTAAAATTAACAAGACTTTACACCTGGTGTAATTTTCCTATCCTTTGATGCAACCTGGAGAGAGACAACGGCAATCATATATATTGACAGGTATTAAAATAATAAAACGTTAATACTTTCTAGTAGATGACTGGATACAGCACCAGTTCCTTCTTCCATTTTTCTCATTTCTTCTCATTGTATTCTGTTGTCATAAGATCAATCAAGTTGCCCTGACTTGGATAGTGCAGGCACACCCAATCTTGTCAGATCTCAGAAGCTAAGCAGGGTCGACTCTGACAAGTACTCGGATGGGAGACTTCTTTGAAATACCAGAGGCAGGAGGCAGGGACAGGCTTTATTCAGCCACCTCTCTGAATATCCTCCAGGCCCCCAGTAGGGGTCAGTCACCAGAGGTCTTCCAGGTGTGTGCATGCACACACACACATATGAAAAAAATACCACCACCCCCCATAAAAAATAAGAACAATCAAGTTAAATGCAATTAAATACAGAAATCTGGCCTGGAAGACTTGAGCAGAAGGCTGTAAACATCAAAAGGTAGAAATAGTTGGAAACTGTACATAGCAACCATTGATCAAAATTTGATCAGGAAAGATCTAAACTCCCATTGCAGATCCACATACCTTCCGTAAACTAGCAATGACACCTGTGTCCTGTGAAGGTAATCATGCTTCACAAGATCACAGTGGCTCCAATCCAGCAATGCACAAAGCAGAAAGGGCCCGATTCAACGTGGCCCAAATTTTGTGGGGCCGGGCAGGGGAAAATTAGGTCTCCCCCCTCTCCCCGTGGCCAATGGTGGTCAGGGGAGGGCTTGGGCAGGGGGAATAGGCCATCCACCACCTTCTGCCCTCATCCTTTGTCCGGTCACAGAGCAGCTCTTCCACCCATCCCTCCCTAAGCGTATGTTGTCAGGTGTTAACAAGTATAGCCGGTAAAGGGACAGGGTGTAGGGTTGTGTTAATAAGCTTAGTATGATGTTGTTAGCCAGGGGATGTTGCTTGATATATTCTATGCACTATTTCTTTTCACAACTTTAGGGGTAACAGCATCCATTTGCGGATATCGGCCTGCACGCCATTTCCTGGATATGGGGACTTTGTGTGAGGGATGACTCTCAAGGGGTCTTTGTGTGAGGGATGATGGAAGCAAGCAAGCTCAAAAACTACCAGAGGTTACCCTCATGATCAGATGGCAGGGGAGAACACTAAGAGGCAGTTGTCTGTGTGAACTCCAGCAACCTGCCATCCCGCTTTCGCTCCCATGCCAGCTGGTACATCGGCTGGCAGAGGGCCAGCTGATGCACTGGATCCAGTGGACCCATGCAGTCAATAAAGTTGTGGCCAATTTACTCCACATATTTGCCGAATTCAGTGGTGTGTGTGTGGTTCTTTAATACAGGTCTATTTACAGCCAATAGGAACTCCCCTCCCCCATAAGAGCTGGAGCCCGCAACAGAAACAGAAACGGACTTGGCATAGTGTCGAGTTCTTCTGCAGCACTTCCTCCCAATATACTACAGTACCCAGAAACTGGTTGCACAAAATCTTGTGCAAGCAGAAATGCAACCAGGAATACAATACGTTTGACGTAGTGCACATGGCTCCAGTGGCCTTTTTCTTGAGCTTCTTTTAGCTCTAGCACAAGTGGAAATTATGCGCAGCATTCAACCCAATGAACATGGAACCAGATACATTTGTATGCATATTGGCAAACTTGATCCATGATTACTTGTGTGCAATTAAAGCTGGACTGGTATCTAACTGCACTATGTATCAGAAATCCTACTGCTAATAGCCTATCATTTTATTTATTCCATTTTAACAGGGCTCTGGTTCAACACAACCCGGGATTCAATGGATATTTTAGATGTCTTTCTCCATTAAAGGCAGTGCAAAATGGTCTCAGTTCTTTGGAACTGATGTCAATTGTGAAAATGTCTCATCTTCTTTGCTTGGATTCTACATGGCTTAAAATCTGAACAGAATTTCTCCCCTACTGTACCCTGGGGGGGAAATCAGTTTAATGACAGATCAGGAATCACACAGATTATTGGAAAGGAGATGAGAACTACTCATCATAAAAATGTGCTTTTTAAAAAAAGGAATCCATCTTTTATATATTATATTAACGATCCACTCAGATTGCTCTTGGCTTTGGCAAGAGTCTGGTACACATATTTTAGATTTTTTGCAAGCCTTCTAAAGGGGAATTGGCAGCATTAAACTAGTTACAAAACAAATGCATTTCAAAAAATAAAACCTGAGTTTAAATAGCAAAGATCATTAGAAGAGACTCTGGAAGACTCTGGAAGCGACTCTGGAAGAGAAAGCACAAATTGGAACACTAATAGTAAATCTGGCAGTGCATACAGACAGACAATGTATTTTATTGCTAGAAAGTGGCTGGACTGCTCTTGTTAGCTATGGGCTACATTGCTGAATTTAGTTTCTGGGATTGGGGGTGGGGGAAGTTGTTACACTTCTTTTAATTAAACACAAATTATATACCTTGGCAACTCAATCCAATTCCTTTTAACAGAGGTTTCTTTCTGTTTTAAACTCAATGACAGTCACTGGATCGACAATACTGAATGAAAAATACTGCTGTTACAGAAAAGTTTTACAGGCAGGTTATGGAAAGCTGCAGAGAAGCGGAAGGTCACAAGCAGTAAATGAAAATGTAGTGCTGCCAGTGGTATGCACCCATCCTTTTCTCGCCTTTATTGAGAAAGCTTCTATATATCTCGTGGGTTGGCTGAAGTTTAATAAATAAGGACAACTTATAATATATAAAACAATATAAACATGTATATGCTACATGCATATCATATAATTTAGACGTAATAATTTATATAGCAGAGTGATGCGGACCTATGATCGCCCAATTTTCCTGGACAAGGCACACACGCAAGAGGTGTCTATTCTAATCCATCGCCAAGCTATGAGTTTGTTGTTTTCCGCAGTCAATGCTCGCACAAACGTTTGAGATGTTTTGCACTGGGAATTCCAGTGCTTATCGTCTATGCCTCGGCAGCCACTTTTAGCAGGTTTGGTTTGCTTACACCTTGTTTCGTAAAAATATTGTTTGACCGGGGAAGGGCCCATTTTGATCTCCCCCAGCACGGTGACCTGGTTTCCTTTAATGTCAATGGCAGAAGATTTGTCTGTTACCCATCGGCTCTCACTGTCACACACGGAGTACTCCCCGCGGTGGCTCTTGCTTTCAGCAAACCTCTTCCGACGAGAAGTTCGGTTCCCCACCACAGAATTGCCAACATAATCCTCCATAAGATATAAGGGTGGGGGCTCCAATGGGGTGTTGTCACTCAGCAGGACCCGTGGGGAGCTGTAGCGTCTCTGTTGCCTCAAGAGTTCTGTATCCATTGAGAGAATTGGCTGGAAATCCAATTTCACATTTTCCGTACTGTCCACTTCCGGCTCGATGGCCTCGGCTTTCTTCACGGTGTCTGCAGTGCTGTCCTGGATATCAACCACCTGCTTGGATACTTTGCTTTTCAAAATGTCTGCTTGGATGAGTTTTATAATGAGAGAATTTATTGAGTCTTCCGGCAAACTCCTTTGATCCATGTTGGTAGACTGGATGCCACGGAGATAAGAAAGCAATATCACATAAAACAAGATGGACATCACCTTGTTCACGTGTAAGATCTGGGGGGGGAAAAGGGAATTGTGAGTCAGAGACAATCACATGAGCTTATCAATTAGTAGTAGTAGTAGTAGTAGTAGATTTATAGCCCACCCATCCCACAAGGAAAATAGATTGGTTTGTCCTGTCTGTTTGCTTCTAAATGCAGATTCAGGTGGGGTAGCCATGTTGGTCTGAAGCAGCAGAACACAGTTTGAGTCCAGTGGCACCTTGAAGACCAACAAAGTTTTATTCAAGGTGCAAGCTTTCATGTGTATGCACACTTCTTCACATACAATAAAATGGAAATTATCGGTCCATATGTATAGGTAGAGCTCACTGTCTACCTATATGTATGGACTGGCATTTTCCATTTCATTTTATCTGAAGAAGTGTGCATACACATGAAAGCTTGCACCTTGAATAAAACTTTGTTGGTCTTAAAGGTCCAGCTGGGCTCAAACTGTGTTCTGCTGCTTCTAAATGTATTGCAAATGCAATATTTTTCAGGCTTGGAGCACACATGAGCTCAATGGAGCTGCCTTCTATTGAGTCAGATCAATGGTGTCTCAAGATCAGTATTGTCTACTTGGACCAGTAACAGTTCTCCAGATTCTTAGGCAGGGGTCTTTCACATCATCTGTTATCTCTTCCTTTGAACTAAAATGCTGGGGATATATCCATACGCTCAATCTTTCTAGACCAGGCACGCATGTAAGGTATGTCACAATCCATCAGCAGAGCACTGAGCAGCACCTGCTGGACTACTGGGTGGATGAACAGTAGGTATAGTTGACTATGGTCAGATCCTGAAAGACACTTAGGTAAGAGGGCACCTTCAGGGTCACTTACACAGATTGATTAGGATTTTATTGCAATTGCTTTAATAATGCCCAGAAACAATCTTATTAAACTATGTATCTGATACCAAACAATATGCAGTTGATCTCACTTCATTTGATTTGGAGTTGGGAGTAAGCAGTGAAGTAGCTAAATTTGCGGATGATATGAAGTTGTTCAGGGTGGTGAAAACCAGTGAGGACTGTGAAGCACTCCAAAGGGATCTGTCAAGGATGGGCAAGTGGGCATCAACATGGCAAATGGGGTTCAATGTGGCCAAGTGCAAGGTGATGCACATTGGAGCCAAAAATCCTAAATATAAATACACATATATGGGGTCTGAACTGGCAGAGACTGATCAAGAGAGAGATCTTGGAGTTGTAGTAGATAACTCACTGAAAATGTCGAGACAGTGTGTGACTGCAATAAAGAAGGCCAATGCTATGCTGGGGATTATTAGGAAGGGTATTGAAAACAGATCAGCTAATATCATAATGCCCCTATATAAATCAATGGTGAGACCTCATTTGGAATACTGTGTGCAGTTCTGGTCACCACACCTTAAAAAGGATATTATAGCTTTGGAAAAAGTGCAGAAAAGGGCAACTCGAATGATAAAAGGGTTGGAACACTTTCCCTATGAGGAAAGGTTAAGGCGCTTAGGGCTCTTTAGCTTGGAGAAACAATGACTAAGGGGTGACATGATTGAGGTTTATAAGATTATGCATGGGAAAGAGCAGGTAGAGAAAGAGGTACTTTTCTCCCTTTCTCACAATACAAGAACTCGTGGGCACTCCATGAAATTGCTGAGCGGTCAGGTTAGAATGGATAAAAGGAAGTATTTCTTCACCCAAAGAGTGATTAACACTTGGAATTCACTGCCACAGGAAGTGGTGGCGGCTACAAGCATGGACGGCTTCAAAAGGGAATTAGATAAGCATATGGAGCAGAGGTCCATCAGTGGCTATTAGCCACAAGGTATAGATAGGGGCTCTGGGGCAAGTGATGCTCTGTCATCTTGGTGCTTGGGGGGGTCAACAGTGGGAGGGCTTCTAATGTCCTGGCCCCACTGGTGGACCTCCTGATGGCACTGGTATTTCTGGCCACTGTGTGATACAGAGTGTTGGACTGGATGGGCCTTTGGCCTGATCCAACATTGGCATCTCTTATGTTCTTATGATTAGAGCAGCTAGGGTTGCCAACTGGTGGGAGTCTGAGGGGGGACATGGCGGGGGGAGTTGTAGGCCAATGGTGTGACTTCATTTCTGAAGAGGAAGAGGAGATTGGATTTATACCCCACCCTTCACCCTTACAATCTCCTTTCTCTTCCCCTCCCCACAATGGACACCCTGTGAGGTAGGTGGGGCTGAGAGAGCTCTGAGAGAACTGTTCCTGAGAGAACATCTCTGAGAGAACATCTCTGCGAGGACTTATGACCAACCCAAGGTCACACCAGCAGCTGCAAGTGGAGGAGTGGGGAATCAAACCCGGTTCTCCCAGATTGGAGTCCGCGCTCCTAACCACTACACCAAACCCAGATGTGATGTCATGCCTCTCTAGGAATCACTGGAAAACCTAAGATTCAGAGTTTCTGGCGATTCCTAGAGTGGACTCCTTTCGCTTACAGGTTTTCCATGGAAGTGATGTCACGCAGTTGCCCAACAGTGATTTGTTTAATATTATTTTTCTCCCACCAGCAACAGCAGGGGCAGTGGGAAATGGAAGCTGGGGACGGGGGATCCCAAAGGCCTAGCCTAAGAGCAGCCAGGTTAACACTTGTCAAAAAATGGCAGCACTCCAAAAACACAAGCCTGGATTAGTGACGGCAAGGAAATTTATATTTTTAGTAAATGTACAGCTATACAAATTTATGTAGATGTACAGACTTCAGCATTATTTGGGATATAGGACTGCGTGGGATGGATGGTGCCTTGTTGGAGCAGAGCAAGCCATTTTGCTAACAGTCTGTGTAAAATTAAAAGTTGTAAACTTTTGTATCTATATGTGTGAAATTAGGCCTCAGTGGGCCTTCGTTATTTCGATGAGTTGCTTTAACATTTTTTTAAATTAAGCTTTCTTTGCTAAGCGGTTCTTAATAAGTACTCTCTGTTCCCTAGTAACAGGGAACTTTCTCCTAAAGAGGACTCGCAGGGAGTTGCCACATTAGACACACATAAAACAAGGCAACAAAACTACTAGCCAGAAATTAAAACACCATCACAATATCCCCAAATATCCAACTATCGAACCAGTACAAAAAACAAAAACAAAGCAAACTGAATCATTAGAAATCTTCAGAGTGCCCAACCCGCCCCTACAAAATCCATCTTTGGGGCTAGACCACTGATGTAGGAGGGCAGTTTATGATTCATGCAGGTTGGTGGGCTGGGAGCTGGGAGTCTATGGGTATGGAGGGTGTCCTGGCTCAGCCTTTTCCTGCCTTCGCCCCTCCCCTCATAGGAGGTATGGATTTCACCAACTTGGATTTAGGAGAGGGAGAGTAAGTCCTGGGGTGGGAGAAGTGGTCGGATTTAATAACTCCTCCTCATTTCAGTATCATTTCATATTCCCAGTTTTGGTTGCTATTGAAGATAGAGGCTGGGTAGGGAATTTCCCAATGTGTAAATATCCTGGGAAGTATATTTTAATTTTAAGAAGCGATCTGTGGTGTGCTTGGAGAAGAAGCATCAAGTTTGGTGTAGTGGTTAAGTGTGCGGACTCTAATCTGGGAGGATCGAGTTTGATTCCCCACTCCTCTACTTGCACCTGGCTGGATGACCTTGGGCAAGCCATAGTTCTGTCAGAGCTGTTCTTGAAAAAGAGCAGTTTCTGTCAAGAGCTCTCTCAGCCCCACCTACCTCACAGGGTATCTGTTGTGGGGAGGGGGAGGGGAAGGAGTTTGTAAGCCACTCTGAGACTCCTTTGGGTAGTGAAAGGTGGGGAATAAATCCCAATCTCTTCTCTTCTCTTTTCTTCTTCTCTTGTCTTACTCAAACTTCTTAGATAATGAATACAGGGAAAGAGTACTGTACATCTTATGTTTAAATGTCTGTATCTACTGTATTTTTACATATTTGTACTATATAACGATAAATTATATATTTTGCAGGATGGGCTGCTGTTGCTAAAAATGTGGGGTGGGTGGAGGCAGGCTTCTATCTGCAAGATGGTGGCACTGTAAACAGACATTGCTCCAAAGCTCATAGTCACCTCATGGAAGCATACTGGGAGGTATGGAGGTCCAGGACCGTATATTTATAACACATTGGTGGACCATGGGGAGTCTGTTAAAAAACCATCAGCATAAGACAAATGTATCCACACCTCTGCCCTAGAGGTTCCTTGGGAGAAGAGGTACTGGGCTGATGTTAATGTGCCAAGTCTTAAGTAGGTCCAGTAATTGGCAAAAGAGGCAAATGCAAAAATGCATTTTCTGATAAGTTACCAGTGATTCCTCTCTACCCTGTAATAGCAGAGAGAGGGAGAAAAACCCACTTACTCTCTGTCAATGGGCAACCTGCCCTTTTATGGTCAAGAAATGTGTTTTCTCCATTCTCCTATTTTGTTATCGAATGAGCAAACCATAGTCCAGACTACTCCTTCCTTCCAGCGAAATGAAATTTTAAGAAAATATATTAAATTTGTCATGAAAGATCTTGCTGTTCTGTAAAAGCATGGGCCTACATATGAAACGAAGGCAGTAAGACTGTACTATGTCGAACAAAGGCAGATGGGAGGAGATGCCACTCCAAATTAACAAACAGTTCAAAGTTTACTTCAATACAAAATCAGCTCTGGAGAATCAGCCATAATAGTTAAAAAAAAAAAGGAGATAAAACTTAGGAGGGCACATACAGTGCGACAAGCTCAGAACAATGAGCACGGATTGTGGGAGAAACAGTAGCATCCTCCAACAGAGGAGCAAGGTTATAGAAACTCAGTCCGCAGAAGGCAAAATTTGGCAACTGCATTAGTTATCTCCTGGGAGGAGTTTGCAAGGAGGGAGACATAAAGTTGTTCAGATCTTCCTGGTAAAGTTGACAGGATTGGAGTGATATACTGAGATCGGATGTCATTACAGAATGAGCAGTGCAGCAAGACTTTTTCCATAGACTCAACTTCTCCTGTGTGGCATGGGCAGAGCTGTTGAGGGAGTGGGACATGATGCCTTCCAGGA